TGTTATCCTACAAATTAATGTAAGATGCAGTCACAGAAATAATTATATTATAAGTACGTCTGAACCAGTGACGACTCTACAACAGATTTTATCCATCGGATCACCAGCAGCGATAGTGATACAAGGCTGAAAATACATTCTGTATACATAATTCGTCTAAACAACAGCTTCATGCCTTATATATCATGTACTGTGTTACGACGCTAGATAAAAAAAAAGACGAGGAAAGGTAACACCCGGCCACCAAAGCTTTATTATTATAGAGCCTAGGTGGTCGAGTGGTCTAGCGCGTCGCTAAAGATTTGCACAACGGTACTAATATAAGATGGTAATATACGAAGATGATGTTATAAAATCGTGTTGACAAATATTTCGGCTTAACAAATAGTACTAATTGTATGTGTAAAAATAGCTCAATCAATATATATATATATATATATATATATATATATATATATATATATATATATATATACTCTTCAAAATTCAAGAGTCTATTTTAAATTGAGGTAAATTATATGGCCTTCCAAATAACGTTTCTATTCCTAACATCACTGAAGAGACATTAATTGTCGAAATCCGGATATGGTGTACAAATATTTGCACCTCATGTTTGCGGTATACCATCTTTTCCGCAAGTTTTTTGTTTTCTGTTTGGTATTTAATTAATAATAAAGATCCAGTTTGTTAGATCTTGTGATCCGTTTATTTGGCAATCGCCAGTGGCAGTCAGCAGGGTTTAAGAACATTCGTTGTTCGACCTGTGAGTCAAATGCATTTTGTTTAAATATACTTTTTCACTTTTTTGGTCTTTTGGAAAATGTTGTTTGTGCTGTATTTAGACCCCTCTACCAAGAAATTTGCATGCACACGTATAAAAATTGCGGTTTTTATCCAACGCAATCAAAGGTTTGAACGTTGTTTTCAATTTAGACTTATTTATATATATATATTTAGAGACATTAATTGTCGAAATCCGGATATGGTGTACAAAAACCTTTGCATCTTTTGTTTGCGATATACCATCTTTTCTGCAAGTTTATTGTTTTCTGTTTAGTATTAAACTTATAATTAAGATCCATTTATTACATCGTTGATCCGTTTATTTGGCAATCGCCTATTGCAGTCAGCAGGGTTTAAGAACATTTGTTGTTCGACCTGTTAGTCAAATGCGTTTTGTTAAAATATACTTTTTCACTTTTTTTGGTCTTTTGGAAAATGTTGTCTAACCAACGTCTAAACAAGTGACAACTCTACGACAGATCCATCCATTGGATCACCAGTGAAGGTGATACACGGCTGAAAACACATATTATATTCATAATTACTCTAAATATCAGCACAGCAATGTTATATCTGCAAATTTGCAGAAGCAAATTTTTGTTCTTACTCGCCGGCATTCGAACTGATGCTATTGGGATATCGACACAACACCGCCTCCACCTAGACTGAACTATATATATATAATTGGCTCTCTTACTTGTTTATATATATCATATTTCGTTTGTTGCTGTATATCATATTTGTGTTTCGGTCATTATTTTGTAGATAAATCAGGCCGTTAGTTTGAAAAGTTTTACATTTGGGCTTTACTCATTGTTGAAGGCCATACGATGACCTATAGTTGTTAATTTCTGTGTCATTTGGTCGCTTGTGGAGAGTTGTCTCATTGGCAATCATACCACATCTTCTTTTTTTTATAAGTAAGAGAGCCAATTGATTTATTTAAAAAAAAAAAGAAAGAATTAAAAGCAACCAAAAGGTCAATAAAAACAGATGAATCGAAGGGAGACATAAAACTCTATGGGAAAAACCCAACTGACACGAACAGACTAACAATGTATATTCCATAAAACCTGCATTTTAAAAAATCGCGTAAAATTTCAGCAACAGGAACTACATCAAAAACCGGGAATGAAACCAGGTAACATTGGAGGGTAAGTAGTTTCTGCTCCACATGTGGTATCCGTCGTGCTGTTCATTTAAAGTAAATGTCCTGTTATAAATTAGATTTTGCATTTTTATACATTTTATTATGCAAAAAAATGACACAAAATAACAGGATATGCGATTTCGTAAACATACTTTAGAATGTTGTCTCGTGCATGGTATTATGGTTCTATTAGAACCAACGGTAACGATCAGATACTTATTTATTGAAGTCCGTGTTTTTCATTGTCTGTTATTGTTTCCTTTTCTTTTACTGACGCTACGCTGTTCTGTCTTTTCCTCTTATCCGTTTGCCCGGTGTTGATGAATAGATAAACCATATGTATATTCTTTTCCATAATACAAAAAGAGGTGTTGAACTCTTAACATGGTAACCTAGGTTTAATTAATGTTATATATAGTTGAAGTAGATTCATGATACTTTAAAAAGCCATTAAGTCACAGTCTTTGAAGAATGAGGTAAGTTGTAAAAATTAAAATAAGAATTATTAATTGAGGACATTGAGCTGAACTCCAACATAGGATTGTAAACAATAATAATTAAAAATAATACAAAACACTGTAAAACGATCCAAAAATATAAATATAATGAAAAAGTACGATATACACAGACCATGGAAGTACTATATTGATATAATACTTCCATGCACAGACTGATCAAGGCTGAGGGTTCACTGATCAATATGACCAGATGACAAAAAGGCAGGGGGGGGGGGGGGGGGGGGGGGGGGGGGCACTTACTGAGCACTGAGTGACGTGAATGATCCGTGGTGTGAATAGGTCACGAGAAATTATTTAAAATCAAAATTGAATATACAAGGTTGCTTGATAATAAGTATCTGAAACTAATCGAAAGTCGGTATTTATTTAATATACGAAGTGCATATATAGACTACTTTCGAATTATATAGCGCGGAGACTACTTTAACACATACTTATTAGTACTTAGTCTCAGAATAGCATTAAGTAGACGAAGTTCAGCTGTTTTTAGGTTGAAAAAATATGGATCTGGGAAAAAGTGGGAAGTTGAAAAAAATAACCCCAAAAAAAGGCGGGGTTTGCGAAACATGAGAGCACCACGTGTCACTGTGACCCACCTCAGCGTAACTCTTAAATGGAAAAATGGGGGGGGGGGGGGGGGGGGGGGCAATCTTGCACAATAGGTCCGTATACAGTGTATAACTTGCACATTTTTATTCATACACCTTCCAAATTATTTTTTTATACTTTAATATGATATGCATAATATAGTTCTTGAAAAAAAAGGGGGGATGACATTACATGTTAAAAAATTTGGGTGCAGTAGTGATTTGGTCCAGTTGGAAAAGGTAAAAAATTAGTATATCTCACTTATAGACCCTCTTAACAAAAAAATGTCCATATTTTAAGTTAGAGCTGGTAGACTTTTCTTTACTGGCTTAATTGATAAATAAGTCTGTGTATACAGAGACATATGTGTATATATGTCTGATATAAGACATAATTTGTCCCAAAAGTAGAACATTGTCCCAAAAGTAGAACACTACACTGAATAAAAAATCATTTTGTAATAGAGCAGGTGGTCCTTTATTTCTTTATTTTTCAATTTTTTAGACAATTTTTCTCGAGCCCTTTTTCTCTAGAATCTTTATTTATCAGTTTTCTGCTTCTGCTTCTGCCTGATAATGGCCACAATCAACGAGCTGATTATTATGCCATGACTTAGGTGCGCATACAGACCCCTCCCCCCCACCCCCCAATTTGATAATTTAGTTCAGCTTTGTCAGAGAGGCTTTAAAGGCCTCGACTGACGATGCTGATGCTACCCCAGGAGGGAGAGCGTTCCAATCCCTGATCGTTCTCGGGAAAAATGAGTATTTCCTGTAATCACTTCTGGATGCTGGAATTTGGAAACTTTTGTCGTGCATGTTCCTCGACAGTCGTGTTGGTTGCATAAGACGACCTTCCTTAGTTACAGCCACTTTGTTGTTTACTATTTTATAGAGCATAGTTAGTCTAGCGTCTTTTCGCCTTTTTTCCAGAGATGGCCATTCCAGGTGCTCAATCATTTTGCTGACACTTGAGTGGTTATGGTGTTTGTTGGAAACATATCTTGCTGCTCGTCTCTGGACCATTTCTAGACGATCTATTTCGGTTTTAAAGTATGGGTCCCATACTGGACTTGCATACTCTATTATTGGTCTTGCGAGGCTTTTGTATGCATTTTCTTTGACTGAAGTTGCTCCTATGTTTAGATTTCTCTTAAGGAAGCCTATTGTCCTATTGGATTTGTTACATATGTTATTGATATGATCATTCCACTTCAGTTCAGATGTGAAGGTGCAACCAAGGTATTTAGCACTTTTGACAGGTTCAAGTTTGTGGCCATGCAATGTGTACGATGTTGGAATGGTGTTGTTTTTGCGGCTGATGGTAAGAACGTTACATTTGTCCGGATGGAAGGACATTTTCCATTTGACTTCCCATGTTCCCAGTTTGTCCAGGTCGTTTTGGAGGTCGTTTGAGTCTTTGTCAGATGAGATGGTAAGATATGCTATTGTGTCATCAGCAAATAGGCGGACAGTGGATTTGATACCATCTGGCATGTCGTTGATGTAAAACAAGAATAATGTAGGACCAAGTACAGAGCCTTGGGGAACTCCAGATTCTACATCAATATGTGATGAGCTCTCTCCATCCACTACTACTGCTTGCGTTCGATGGGATAAGAAGCTGGCAATCCATCTATTGATTTTACCACTGATACCGTAATGTTCTAGTTTGACCATTATTCTCTATCTATTCCTTTTCAGCGCCACGTTATTATCTTTTCTTTCTTTTTTGTGCTATTTTACTCAATTCTTTATTCTTAGCAATTTAACTGCACTTTTTGCCTATTATTCACTATTCTTAAAACCCCATCCAGACCCTCATTTATTGTCGACGCAAGTCCCGAGAAAAAAAGACGTAAATTTTGACATTTATAACCTATGACCTTTAATTTAGAAACTGAATCAATGAAACGTTTAAAACCAAAGAAATAATAAGCCGGAAATAATGCTAAAGATTGACCCAGACTTGTCACGTGATTTAATTAAACCCCAAAATGGCAACTGCGATGTATCTCGAACACTATTTAGATAGTGAGTTTAAGTTACAGATATATATGAAAAATTATATAAGTAAAACTACCCTCCTCAGTATTCTCCTTATTCATAATTATATGATCAGCATGTATATTGTGTAGCTAAGTATGATGTCACGTAAAGGAATGAGCGGTTGAGCTCGAAATATTTTTTTGGCGCAATTTTATAAATTTTAAAATAATGTTTTTACTAGTCTGAGTCATTAATGAGTCACGATAGTTGTTAATCTTAACTTATAAGAATAAGCCCAAAATTAAAATAAAATCGATATTACCAGCAATTAAACGAAGCAATCACTCTTACTACATTTCCTGTATCTTGTGACCACACTTTTGCTTCCACTGCCAGGGTGATCTAGTTTGAAATTGGTCTTATGTACGATAGACTTTGTTGGAACTTACTGGGTCTGCAGTATGCCAGAGTGCAGTCCATGTAAAAACCTATTACCTACCAAGATGTAAGACAGTAACTTTTAGTGTCAAATCCTAATCGATCCCAACCAAGTGGGACTATAAACTCCACGGCCATACTCTGGTGCATGAAACATCAACTAAATACCTAGGCTGCACCATCGCAAATGATCTAGATTGGGGAGAACATATAAACAACATCACAGGAAAAGCCAGCCGAAGCCTTGGTTTCCTACATCGAAACCTCCACATTACCTCAAAATCCATCAAAGAGCATGCCTATAATATATTAGTAAGACCGCAAATGGAATACGCCACGACAGTATGGGACCCGTACCAGCAAAACCACATAGATAAAATTGAAAAGGTACAAAGAAGAGCTGCACAATATGTAACCAGCAGACATAGAAATAGATCAAGTGTCAGCAACATGATAAATGAATTAGGATGGAAAAGCTTACAAATAAGACGAAAAGAAGCACGACTCATCATGTGTTATAAAATAACAAACGACCTTGTAGCCATAGACAAGAATAAATATCTACAAAAACCAACAAGAAGCTCAAACCGGACAGGACAACATACTTACCTATTACAGCCAGCCACCTAAGACTGTAGGAAATGGTCCTTCTTCATAAACACCGTCAAGGATTGGAACAAACTGCCACCAGATACCGCCACAGCAAAGTCTCTTGAGATATACAAGTCTCAAGTCACCAAAACCACAAATTAAATCAACAGAACAATTTGTTTTTATCTTGTTTTAACCTGTTTTTAATCATGCGCAACTTGCCAGAATATTCATCATGTTGAATGTGGGCAGTATTTGGAAGAAGAAGAAGATCCATAGTTATGTCAAACAAATAAACCATATATACATTAATTCCTTGTTTATGTTTATCTGAATATATACATTTTAATCACTATGTATGGTATTCAACAATGAGCAAAACCCACACCTCACAGTGAACAATAAAAGGCCCGAAAATGGCAAATGTAAAACAATTCAAACTAGAAAACTAACGGCCTGATTTATGTACAAAACAACAAAAGAAAAACAAATATGATATACAGCATTTAAATACAACCACTGAATTATGTTCATTTGTGTGTAACATTGATAGTTTTTTTATTTTATAGGTTTGGAGTCCTTACCGAGTGAACTCCAAAGAAACTTTAATTTAATGAGAGATTTGGATCAAAGGGCACAAGGTGAAATGGAGTTTCTAATCATATGTTTCGTTTGAGCTGTGTCGGATGGAAATCGAACTTATGCAAATGAATATTTTATACATCTGTTAACCTATTCTGAGTTGAAAAAATCTCTATGCAAAGTCTGTACATTTAACTGTTTGACAATTGATGATTTGATATCAGAACCCTACAAAACAGACAAAAATCGAACTTTTATTTCGTATTTGAATGTTCCAAAATAAATCTAAGTCTTACACATGTACATGTATATGTACACTTGCATAAGGTTGATTTCTATCCAACGCAGCTCATTTATTATGAGTACACTTAAACAGTGATTTTGCTAGCGCTCGTCACTTTCGTCTTTTACGAAACGATTTTCGAAATGACGAATGTATTTCAAATCAATTTCGTCACTTAAATTTGGAAAATGTATAAAAAAAATTTCGCATGAAAATACAATAATTCTACCTGTCTCCATGTTTCTGACAAGTTTATGACCCTCAGCTTATTAAAGTTTACAACAGGTTTTAAAAGTTGTGATTACAGTTAATTATCCGCTTATCGCCATCAGATGGGTCACTAATCCGTTAATTGTTTATAAACCTCATAATTGACCATCATAATTATTTAACCCAGTAAAAATTTCAATTTCAATATTTCTCAAACGACCACAATTTGCAGTTCGTTTATCCTAGTTTAGTCAGTAAAACAAAATTGTTTCCTCCCGGACAGTTCGCATTTTAATTTCAATATTTCTCAAACAATCAAGTTTGTTTGTCGTAGTTTCCTCATATGAACGTATTTTCGTCATATTTGATATAACTTTTCATCAAAAACTTTCGACAATTTCGATTAAAAAGATAGAACATTTTTATTCAAAACGTTCAGAAATATTTTCACGAGTCAAACAGGTGCTTCCTTTACGTTGTACTGCGCATGCGTGAAAGTATTCTTATAAATTTGTAGACACTAAAACGTAAAATACGAAATAATTTAGTATCAAATTAAACGAGAGACAAAGATACTTATTACTAAGCAACTTAATTTAAAAAAATGATAATTTCCTGCCTTTTGTTAACCATGAAACCAATCCGTAGATGAATCCGGATTCATTCTGAATTTATTATCTACTTGTCACTTTCCGTTTTCATTTCATTTAAAAATAGAAAGTAAACGTGATATATTCTCGATTAATTTACAATGTACAGCCATAACAATCGTTCCATTAAGGATTGATACAAATCCTAGTTTCCAACTTCAAAGAAGTGAATTTCAAATTTTCGATTTAAACGTCTTTACAAGGATAATGATTACGCAGTGAAATAGTCGTTACAAGTTCATTTATGGGAATTATGCTGTGGTTTAAAAAAAGAGGCACCCAACTTTTGTTGATCAGGAATGTCCTCTGCAAATACCTGAAGTGAAATTGTGAACTAGATTTCCGGATCCCTGTTCTTATCTTCATATTTAGGTATCACATTAGTCAAATCATGCAATGACTGCCTACATCAGCAGGCCTAAGGCCTACAAAGGTCCTATTCCTTGAAGGACTTAGGCATATGTAAAGCTAGAAATATACATCCTTGATTCATTGCTGTTACCCAAAATAAGGTTAATTTTCATCTCGCGCAAAAGTGACTAAAGCCCTCAAAATCCTAGCTGAAACCCTGCACTTAAAATACTAAAAGTAACGCAGATGTTGAATATTTGGTTCTTGGCAATTGAGAAGGAAGGCTGGTGTTGTTTGTTACATGATTAAAAGGACTTTTGTAATTGAGATTTTCAGTAACCCAAGAAATTTTCTAAAGACTGTCCTGAAACAAAGAAAATGAAAGTGTAATGTTTCAATTTAACACTTAAGTGTCTATCACTATATTGTTTAAGGTGTTCAAAAATTTTGCTCTACTGAATCTATGAAAAATAGCATAACTTGTATCCCCCCTTATTTTGTATGAAAATGTATGTTTGTTATTTCATTTCCAAAATTGTTTTGACATAAAATTGTTCAATCATCAAATTCTTACTATATGTACATGTAGTAAGATGCTTTGATCTGACCATATTTCTAGAAGCATTTATTTCGTAACCTCAATTATTTTCAATTGTATTCTAGATCTGATGAAGGAAATAGATAAGATGGCTGTGGACTATCTTGGAAATGTCAGAGGACTGTCACCAGAAAAACGCACAGAACAATTAGATTCTATAGAAAAAATGTTCTCTAAAAGTAAAGAATTTGGTGATGACAAAGTACAGTTAGCCATGCAGACATATGAAATGGTAAGGTCTGAAAAAGTTTGGGAAAAAAAATTTTTTTTAGAGTATTTTTGTGCAATTCACGATAATAAAGAAATCCATAGTGAAAATAGGGAGTTGAAATAACAGTCCCAATGTACATCTAGGTCTAAGTCACACATTGGGACTACTATGGAATAATTGTAAAGATTATTTTTGCTCTGAAAAAAACTGGAACTGTGAGCAAGGGAGGGTTTTCTATGATCTCTAATAATGACTGAAAGCTTCAATATATATTTAAAGAAGAGCAACCTCGGCTTGCAAGAGAAATGCTGAAATTGAAATGAAAACGATACTAATTCTTGTTTAACTTCAGGTTGACAAACATATACGAAAGCTAGATGCTGACCTTGCTAGGTTTGAAGCAGATTTGAAAGAAAAAAGTTCATCATCTAGTCAACAGAAAGGCGATTCAGATTCAGGCAAAAAACGTGAGGATATAGAAAATAAATTATGTTAAATCGAAAATTGAGATAAATCGTATTAAAGCAAAGAAAATTTAAATAGAGAAAATGCATAAATACATTTAACTCTCGTTGTCTCGAACTCAATCGACTAGAAATTTCAGAAGAGTCTAACTTTGTTCCATATAAAAATATGTATTTCAACACCTCAAAAATCGAAAGTTCCGTTGACTCAAACAAAATTTACAGTCCCAAGGTTAACAAAAGCATTTAAATTGCATTTTTTTTATGCCCCCACCGTAGCAGAGGGGGCACTAAGTTTTTTACATCTGTCCCAAAATTGGTTTCCGTTCTCAAACTTTAGTTTGCCTCAACCAAAAGTTATGAAACTTATACACAATGCTTATTACCAACAAACACAGTTCAAGTTTGAATTTAGGTGGTGTCACTTTTACTGTTCTAGAGTTGTGCCCCTTTTCAAATGGAAATATTGCTGATTTATCGTTTCCGTTCTCTAACTTTAGTTTGCCTCATCCAAATGTTATGAAACTTATACACAATGCTAATTACCACAAAACACAGATCAAGTTTCAATTTGGGTAGCATCACTTTTACCTTCTAGTGTTATGCCCTTTTCAAATGGAAAAATTGCTGAAATTTTCGTTTCCGTTCTCTAACTTTAGTTTGCCTCAAGCAAATGTTATGAAACTTATACACAATGCTTATTACAACAAAACTCAGATCAAGTACAAATTTGGGTAGTGCCACTTTTACTGTTCTTAAGTTATGTCCCTTTATAGCTTTATATGCAAGGGGGGGCATCATCTGTGTCCCATGGACACATTCCCCATTTATTTCTCAAACAAATACACATATATATCAAACATGATCTGGGAGATTTAAAAGGATTGACAAGTTAATCTGACAATTATTACAACTGTCATAAAATTCCGGTCATTGAGCACTGTATTGATTTATGAAATCCTTTTCTCACGAGTGCTTTACCTTAGATAAGGTTTGATCACCATAATAAATTAGCAATTCATTGTTATAGATTATGAAAAAAATGTTTAAATGTTTTATATCAATTAACCATAATCATCCATTGGCATCTTTGCTCTTTTATATTTTCTTTATGCAGAAAAAGGATGCAATAAAAGAAAATCTAAAACTTCTCAAATCTGATGAATATGAGAATGAACAGCTTTGATAACTTAAAATCATGCTAAGATCGTTTAAAATTGTTCTCTCGGCTAAAAACCCAAGAAAAATTGTGACTATATAAAGAAATAACTTGAGACAAAATTAACAAATAGTTTTATGATAATAATAAAACATCATTACATATGTGTACAGATACACTGATCGAAGACAATACTATTGATCTCCTACCCATATTCATCTGGATTTATTTTAGCCTTCCAAGCAAAGTAAGAGTTGTGTCCCTTGGTATGTCAAAATTACAGTATTTGTTTGAGTCAAACTACGTCTATACCAAAATATTTCTCTGGTCTGGCTGACTTCGTTATAACGAGAGTAGACTATAGCACATTATTGTTGTATTGTAATTGATTTCAAAAATATTCACTTGTGAGCAAACCCACAACAAAATTATGCAAGTTGGCAATGATCTGAAATGAAATATCTGGCAGATTGAATGGTCCAAAACAGTAAAACATTTGAATAGGGAAAATCCATAAGTATCATTTAAATTAATATCAAATACATACATATAATTACATTACATGCATGTTTCATTATAATACGTTTTTTTGATTGGCTAACAGCAATCTTGCATCATTCTGAAATTAACCTTCATTTCAAAATGAAATGTAACATTCATGATGACACGAGCTTTCACAATAAAGTGCACAGGTAAATAAAAAAAAACTTGATAGAAATCATGTTTTCATGATCCTAGCAAAAAAATGTAATTATAAGTATTGAATGCTTCTTTTAGTAATTTTATAGGGTTGTAAAAGCGTTGACTGTGCGCACATTTTTAGAATGAAGACTTTGGTCAACGCTTTTACACCCCAATAAATTTACCAAAACAAGCATTCAATTCTTAATTAAATAGCAACCATGCAACAACAAAATTGTGAGTTAAAGATTCTTTAGTTTATATAATGAAAAGGCAGAAATTTACACTTAATATGTTTTAAAAAATATTGAAAATCATTCAAGTAGCAGAAATTACATGCATTACACCTAAAGGTGAAGACAATTGCAAAGATCTATTGATTCTTTTCAATCATTTAGGAAAGAAATGTACATAATCACATTGAATGATAAAACACAATTTGTCAAAATGACAGAAAGCTACAAGAGTTGTTTCCCTTACACCCTTTGCAATGCAATAAACATTTATTTGATACATTTTATTGATAAGGTTGATCTAAGTTCAAGACTTTACATTTGATATTTTTTTACAGTCAAAGGAAAAGAAAAGAAAAAGAGGAAATCGATGAAAGAAGAATTTGAAGATGAAATTCCTCGGAAAAAGAAAAAGAAAGGGGCACCATTGTATGCACAAATTAAGAATTTCTTAAAATTTTTCAATTTGAACAGATTATATATTTGAATACTTCTTTATGCAAAACTCTACATTTAGGCTTCTCACCTTCTGTGTTGAAGATTAGGGCTTTTTTTCCAAACTGTAAACAAACCAAAGAGTTTGAGACATTAAAGAGCAAAGATTGGCTGATTTAGAATAAGAATATATTATTCTAGCAGTTTTACATGTTTTCATGCAGACTTTCATTGTTATTCCTGTTAAAAACTCATCATCATTTCGGTGTCCATTTTAATTTTTGTCTATGTTGAAAAAATTGATTGCTGATCGTTCAACATTTTACCATCAATCAATGCGGAATCTTAAAGGTGGATACCATAAACTTAACTTTTAAGTATTAACCTTAGAAATGTCCAAATAATAAACAATATTTTGTAGTTCTGGATATACATGTAAATAGATATTGGAAATCATCAGACAACCAAAATATATAAATACAAATTATTTTGCAGATCTCCTGAACCTGAAGCAGCACCCATTACAGTCCCACTTTTATCCATAACACACCCTTCAGATGTATTAGATATGCCTGTAGATCCAAATGAACCTACATACTGTCTGTGTCACCAGGTTTCCTACGGTGAAATGATTGGCTGTGATAATGCTGATGTGAGTATACAAATTCTGTAGTCTGAGATATATAGTGATAAAATATTTCGGCATAACAAATGAATTTTATCATTGTTGATCTTTTTATGCCCCCGCCGTAGCGGAGGGGGCATTAAGTTTTACCTTTGTCCGTCTATACTTCCGTCCGTACGTACGTCCCAAAGTTGGTTTCTGTTCTCTAACTTTAGTTTGCCTCAACCAAATGTTATGACACTTATACACAATGCTTATTACCACTAAATACAGATCAAGTTTGAATTTTGGTAGCGTCACTTTTACCGTTCTAGTTTCAAAATGAAACAATTCAATTTGAAGTCCTTTCTATGTTGTAATGCTCAAATCCATATCTGCAATATAAATATCTTTTATCCCTGTTGTGACTTGTTTAAATGTATATAATTTGATCAGGGGTTCAAATTTGCTTTAGCTTTAGCTAATGAACTATATGAATTTTCACGTGAACAGTTTTCCTTAAGAAAGTCAAAATTCTTGTATAAAGCACTAGTGAGAGGAAAGGCCGGTCCTTGCCTTCTTTAATTCAAAATAAGAATAAAAACTTCCCCCCAAGAAAAGACGGGCCCTGGACCTTGGAGCCACTCTAATTTGAACCCTGCTTCAATTTTACCAATTGAAAATATAAATGGTATGTGATTGTTATAAATTAGCTCTAAATTATCTATTAACATTTCAAGTGCCAGTCTGATTGAGAATCCAACAAACAAAAAGTTATTTATACAGTATCAAGACAGTATTCTTAGGTTTTTTTATAAAAACTGACATTAGGCTGGCCAGTTGGAATAAATATCTTCAGGTCCTTCTAAAATGTTCCTGCTCCTCTTAATGCGAAAATACAAAAAAAAAGATATGATTGCCAATTTGACAACTATTCGCCAAATGATGTAGAAGTGAGCAACTATAGGTCACCGTTTGACCTTCAACATTGAGCAAAACCCATACCGCATAGCAAGCTATAACAGGACCCAAAAATAAAAAATGTAAAACAGTTGTAACAGGAAAACTAGCTGCCTGATTATTAGGTCCGAGGACACAGTTATTGTCCTTCGATTTTTGTTGTCTACAAATATAGTCCCTAGTATGGACAGTGTATAACTTGCAAATTTTTTTCATACAATTTCCAAATTTATTTCTTTATGTTTTATGCATGATATATTAGAAGGGGGATGAAATTACATGTTAAAAAATTTGGGTGATGAATTTTTATGTAAAGTAGTGATTTGGTCCAGTTAAAAAAGATAAAAAATTAGTATGCCTGAAGCTGTTAAACTGAATTATAGACCCCTTTAACATAGAATTGTCCATATTTTGAGTTAGAGAAGGTAGACTTTTCTATAATTTTTATTATACAACTGCAAAAATTTTGCGGTCGTATATTGGTATGACGTTGGCGTCATCGTCGTCCGAAGACACATTAGTTTTGGCACTATAACTTTAGTTTAAGTGAATGGATCTCTATGAAATTTTACCATAAGGTTCAATACCACAAAAGGAAGGTTGGGATTGATTTTGGGGGTTATGGTACCAACAGTTAAGGAAAAAGGGGCCAAAAATAAGCATTTTTGTAACTTCCAGACAATAACTTGTGTGTAAGTGTATGGATCTCTCTGACATTGTACCACAAAGTTCCATATCACAAAGGGAAGGCTGGAATTGATTTTGTGGGTAATTGCCTCAAAATTTTAGGAATTAGGGGCAAAAAAAGGGGCAAAAAAACAAGCATTTTTCTAGTTTCATGACAATAACTTGTGTGTAAGTGTTTGGATATTTCTGAAATTGTACTACAAGGTTCCATATCACAAAGGGAAAGCTGGAATTCAGTTTGGGTGTAATTGCCCGAAACGTTTAGGAATTGGGGGCCAAAAATAAGCATTTTTCAAGTTTCCAGACAATAACTTATGTTCAAGTGTATGGATCTCTCTGAAATTGTACTGCAAGGAACCATACCACAAAGGGAAAGCTGAGATTGATGATGGGGGTAATTCCCTCAATATTTTAGGAATAAGGGGCAAAAAAACAAGCATTTTTCTAGTTTCATGACAATAACTTGTGTGTAAGTGTTTGGATATTTCTGAAATTGTACTACAAGGTTCCATATCACAAAGGGAAAACTGGAATTGAGTTTGGGTGTAATTGCCCTAAACGTTTAGGAATTGGGGGCCAAAAATAAGCATTTTTCATGTTTCCAGACAATAACTTATGTTCAAGTGTATGGATCTCTCTGAAATTGTACTGCAAGGAACCATACCACAAAGGGAAGGCTGAGATTGATGATGGGGGTAATTCCCTCAATATTTTAGGAAGTAGGGGCCAAAAAGGGGCAAAAAACAAGCATTTTTCTAATTTCAGGACAATAACTTGTGTGTTAGTGTATGGATCTTTCTGAAATTGTACTACAAGGTTCCATATCACAAAGGGAAAGCTGGGTTTGAGTTTGTAGGTAATTGCCCTAAACGTTTAGGAATTTGGGGCCAAAAAACACATTTTTCTAGTTTCCAGACAATAACTTGAACACAAGTGTATGGATCTCTCTGAAATTGTACTGCAAGGTACCATACCACAAAGGGAAGGCTGGGATTGAGTTTTGGGGTGATGAATCATAAGGGGGTTCAAAAAATTGGGGGGGGGGATTTTTTTTTTTTTTCCTTTTTTTTCTTTTTTTCCTTTTTTTTTTCTTTTAAAATTTTCCATTTTAAGTTGGTTATTTTTGATTTATATTTAAAAGCAAATAATAATGATATGGTAGGAGATACACACCAAACAGGATGTGTAAATTATTATATAATAAGTATTGTGCAATAGCAAGAAATTTTCAATTGCACAGTATTGCACAATAGCAAGAAATCTTCAATTGCACAGTATTGCGCAATAGCAAGAAATCTTCAACTGCACAGTATTGCGCAATAGTAAGAAATATCCAATAGCACAATATTGCGCAATAGCAAGAAATTGTCAATTGTACAGTATTGCGCTATAGCAAGAAATATTCAATTGCACAGTAATGTGCAAAAGAAGATACTTCGTATAAATTGCTTATTTCTTGACCAATTTCAATGGGGTTTTATTCTTGAATTCTTGGGGTTCTTTAATATGCTGAATCTAACCGTGTATTAAGTTTTTGGATTTTGGGCCCTTTTTTTAAATTGGTCCACATTGAGGTCCAAAGGGTCCAAAATTAAACTTTGTTTGATATCATCAAAAATTGAATTATTGGGGTTCTTTGATATGCCGAATCTAACCGTGTATTTAGATTCTTAATTTTTGGTTCCGTTTTCAAATTGGTCTACATTAAGGTCCAAAGGGTCCAAAATTAAACTTAGTTTGATTTTAACAAAAATTGAATTCTTAGGGTTCTTTGATATGCTGAATCTAAACATGTATTTAGATTTTTGATTATGGGCCCAGTTTTCAAGATGGTCCAAAATTAAAATTTGTTTGATTTCAACAAAAATTGAATATATGGGGTTCTTTGATATGCTGAATCTAACCATGTATTTAGATTTTTGATTTTTGGGCCCCGTTATCAACTTTGTCCACATTGAGGTCAAAAGGGTCCAAAATTAAACTTTGTTTGATTTCATCAAAAATTGAATTCTTGGGGTTCTTTGATATGCTGAATCTAACCATGTATTTAGATTTTTGATATTGGACCATAATAGGTGAATGTCCAATTTAAAATTTTTAAGTTCTTAGACCACATTCATTCTGTGTCAGAAACCTATGCTGTGTCAAATTTTTAATCACAATCCAAATTCAGAGCTGTATCAAGCTTGAATGTTGTGTCCATACAAAAATTGAATTTCTTAGGGTTCTTTGATATGCTGAATCTAAATATGTATTAAGATTTTTGATTTTTGGGCCTTGTTATCAACTTCGTCCACATTGAGGTCAAAAGGGTCCAAAATTAAACTTTGTTTGATTTCATCAAAAATTGAATTCTTGAGGTTCTTTGATATGCTGAATCTAACCATGTATTTAGATTTTGGATATTGGACCATAATAGGTGAATGTCCAATTTAGAATTTTTAAGTTCTTAGACCACATTCATTCTGTGTCAGAAACCTATGCTGTGTCAAATATTTAATCACAATCCAAATTCAGAGCTGTATCAAGTTTGAATGTTGTGTCCATACTTGCCCCAGCTGTTCAGGGTTCGACCTCTGCGGTCATATCAAGCTGCGCCCTGCGGAGCATTTTATATTATTTGTCCCAAAAGTAGTACATTACACTGTAAAAATCTTTTTGTGATAGAACAGGTGCAATTTTTTAAATTTTAATTTATTGTCTAAAAGAAATGCAGTACGAAATAACTGTGTTCTCTGGCCTGTCCAAAACAAAATGCTGGTTATTTTAAAAGAAAGTTTTAAGTACATGTACAAGAACTATATTTAATTGAGAAAAATATTTTTATTTTCAGTGTCCAATTGAATGGTTTCATTTTGCTTGTGTTGGACTAACAATCAAACCTAAGGGTAAATGGTTTTGTCCCAGATGTTCAGAAGAGCGGAAAAAGAAATAAAGCAACACAGATTAGGAGGAGAAGAAAGTGCTTGTTTTTATTTGTAAAACACATCATCGGTGCATTTATTGTTTATTATCATTTGTTTTATAGTAAACTAATAAGGAGAAAATTTTAATTAACAATCAGTTTATTTACCATGTGGTTTGTGGTATTCTTAATTTTTTTTCTCATAAAAGTATATATCTTTCCATAACAATCATGACAAATTTTGACATGAAATAAAATTGTATCATTTTACAGATTTCCTCATTGGCAGTTGGGAACCATTTTTGTTGAAATATCATTTAAAATTTATTTGTGCCTTATTTTTAACCTACAATCTTTTTTTCTTTTCTGTTCATTTGATTTTATATAAAAAAAACATCTTTAAAGTTTGACATTATAAACATGGTAAAACACTTTAAAAAAGAAATTTTAATTATATAATAGTTGAAACTATTCTTCCAGTTAAAGGAATTTTCAATTCTTACTCTTGAAAATTTTAAGTAAATTTAAAAATGCATTTGATGCATCAATAGAAAAAGTTCCTTGATTTATGAGTTCTATGCTGTGATTTTTTTCATTTCTTTTAAAGAAACTTCAGGTTTTACTGAAGAAAATTAATCGTTTAGTATTTACATGTATCACCACTGTTTTTCGTATTATTGCATCTGAATTGGAAGAAAGATATATTTATCAGTTGAGAAGGAAACGTGGCATCATAATATCAACACATTTTAATAAGTATTAATGTATTTTTTTCATCATAATTTAAGGCAAAGTATACGTAATTGGACAATAATTCAGATAAAGATGAAATTTTGTATGCAAATAGAACTCGCTGAATGCCACCTGACTATCAAAAATGTCAAACTAAAAACTAATTATTAGCACTTTAAGAGATATAATCAATTAAATATTTAAATGTAAAGAAAAAATGTGAAAAGCAACGAATAGGTTTTTTTTTTAACTATAAATTGTAATTTTTGAAAAAAAATTGTCCACAGTTGAATTCTTGCCTATTTTTTATTTAAATTTGAAAATGGGTAAAAATTGAAAGGAAAAAACTTTGATTTTTAATTAATATAAGAACTTAAAAAAAGTAAAATATAAGCATCCTTTGTTTTTCAATGTTCAGGATTTATTTTTCCCTTTTCCTGTAGCATATTAATTTGTAAAGCAAGATAATCAAATTATTAGTGCCATATTGTATTTTCTTTGTTAATCCATGGAAAACTAAATCACACATAGGCTAACCATAATATTTGATTTTTAGGTAGTTAAACGCTTTTGGCTATACCTTGGAAAAAACTGAATATAAATAAACTGTAAAAATTGTATTGTAAATCTATTTATTTTCATAATATTTGATTTTTTATGCTCCGCATAGGATAGTAAAAGGCATATTGTTTTCTGCTCTGTGTTACCATCCTGTATCACTCGAAAGTTTTGGTATGAAGTTGTTGTCACATCTACTTGAAACTTAGTACATATGTTTATTATCATTTGAACTTTCAGAAATATATGTCAAATTAGAACTTTTAACAAGATTTAATGATGCTTTGAACATTGAAATGTGATAGTGTGAGTCGTGCATATTGGCTAATGGACACACACTCCTGTTTCAATACATAAGTGTATCCAAAACATTTTAACAAAATTTAAAACATCATGAAAATAACTATTTATAACATTTCATATGACTCCTCTCTAAAAATTTTGTCCTCAAGTTCACATCATTTAAACAAAAGCACCTCAGTGTTGTTGTTATATGGGAATGCAGCAATTTGTCTGTTATAGTCCCCAGTGGTTTGCATTGTTATCATTGTAGCTAGATGATGGAAATCTTTTTTCTCCAAAGTATATTAGTGACCTATAGCTGCATAGCTTTGTTTATAAGAAATCTCATTTTGTCTTCATGTGATACATTGTTGTTTATTTTATTTAGTGACATTTGTACATTGCATTGTGGGTAAGAAAGTATAAAGAGTATGCATTATTGTGAAAATGTGTAGTTTTGAAAGTTACCCAAGTTTGTTTATACTTCCAGAAAGAAAGAAAAAATGATTGAAAAAGTAAACACAAGTTCTGTTAACAATTGGTAGCATTTTTTGTCCTTTTTCTTTTACGTATCATTCTCTGTAATCAATTACACTAATCTGTAGATGATTTAAAATTTATTGAGAAATTTAATTGTTTTTTTGCTAAATTATTTAACTGTTTGTCAGAGATGTAAATGTTATTAATGATATGCGAATGATCTAGTTGTTGTTGAAGAAAGTAGAATTGAAAATGCATAGCAATGAATGCATGCGCTACATAAATTGTTTTTGATTACAGTTTTGTAACAGCTTTTTGTAGGTTTTTGCATTGACATTGCTTGCATGAAATTAGAATTTATTTATGTCATTACAAAGCAACTGGAAGAAGTAAATAGAAAAGATTTTGAATTTGAAAAGATCAGAAATAATGTGGCGTAACAGTTGTGAAGCTAATATTCATGTATTCTTAAGGAAAATAAAAAAATTCTGAATTTAATGTATATATTTTTAAAAAGATATCAAAAACATTGAGTTATTTTCATAATATTAGGCTAACTCTTTAAGACATTTATAGTAATTTTTTTTGATTGGAATAAATTTGTGATCCAAATATATTTAAAAGTAAGATACTTATCACAAAATCATTTTTGTCACAGCATTTGGCCTGATTCTCTTAAATTAAAACCCATTTATAAATAACGTGGATTAAGTAGTATTTTTTTGTTATTCAAAGTGCATATTTATAACATTGTAAGGTAAAAGCTTAAATGAAATAATAAACTTTTGTGACAGTTTGTTATATTTAATCATTTAAGCTGTTAAAATGTTGATTCAGACTTATCATGATACAAATTTATAAGAAGTATATTCTAAGTTGGGTATAGAAAATAGTGTTCAAAGTTATTATAGCATTCTCAAATTCTTGAATTTGATATTCCACAATCAAAATATTTTTTGTCAGTATATTCAAAATGCTTCAATAGTAGATTTTTACAGTCTTTTCTTAGATGTTTCACAAATTTTCTTTAGTGCTTTATATTTTATTTGACAGGTAGGAATCAGAGGAGTGTTACCTTCTATTTGTACAGTAGAAACTTCTCTCAATATTAAATTCAAATTTTTAGTCATCTCTTGCATTATGTTTGAATTGGTAGTCTGTTTAAGTGAATGGAAGTAATTAATGTGTATGTATAAGTGGGAGAGATGATTTGTATAAATGATTTTAGATATTTCATATAGCAGTGTGTACTTCATTGGTGACAAATCTTTTGGATTGTGATTTTTCTCAAAATTAGACATGATGGTACCCAATAAATACAAGTATTACTGTAAATTCAGGACCTTTTATGAATGTTTTGAATACTGCACACAATGAAAAGAGATAGATATTGCAGAAAATAAAACTTACCTGTTAAATACATGTAGGATTGTTAATTGTCTACGACGATGACATACATTGTATGTTAGAAATAGGTTAGACTGGGATCCTGTCTCACTGCTACTAACAAGATGCAGATATTGCTCTAGAATCCCAAGCTAGAAACAGCTGATCCTAAATGTTTCAAACTAATTCTATCAGAAAGACAAAAAAAGCTGGACAAACTTATTGTAATGGACTGTTTGCATAGGTTAAACCCCTTTCATTGGGTAGAATTATTTTAGGAAGTATTTCCTAAAATTTATTGTTTTAGCGTCGGTTTGAATGCAGGAAGCATACACCTTTTTCCACCTTAATGCATGCAATACTTTCTGAATTTACATTTCATTCACAGTATTCAAAAACCCTTAATGACTGTTAGTACATTTCTATTATCAGTATGGTTGTTTCTTTTTGATTTTTCGATATTTATCTTCAAGTCAGCAGTAATATCTACATTAGAAATACACGCCCCTTAATATTTATATTGTTAGTTATTTGCCTGAATGGGATATTTATAGATGCAGCATGTTTAAGGATGTAGGAAGTACACCACTAATTCATGGCCCCATTGCTTTCTATGTTAAAATCCTCGATTTCAAGCAGGCACAGCTCTTTTGTCTTAAGTTCAAATAAATTGACAATCATTGGATGTCAAAACAACACCTTATGGTGTCTTGTACTGAAAAAATCAACATACCTTTAATGACATATAAGAGAGAACTGGTTCCCGGAACTTTAGATGTACCAAAACAGGTACTTCAGATCTGACAAACAGGCAAAATGTACCCTGCTTTTTAAATTTCAAGCAATTTTTTTATTATTCAAAACTATAAGTCAAAAAGTGTTCTACAAAGACCACTAGTCATCAAGCTTTCATTTGATACCAAAATTACCAAAATATTCTACATATTTTGAAAGTTACACCCATGCGTAGGAAGTATTTTGTGTGAAATATGTACTACTTTCTGGTATGTGCTTTCTGACAGGGCCCGAATTAGTGGTGTTACACCTGTAGACCTAAGTTAAGGGACATAACTCTTTATAATCACTGGTATGCTTTTGTCAATCAGTTTCATTCGTATATGTCTAAGCTTCTATGAAACACAGATTTTAAAAATACTGTATCATAGGGAAGCTTAAGGAGTTATACCACCATTGAATTTTCCCCTATTAAGTCTTTGTTAAATTGGCATTTTTCCAAAAATTGTGCAGAATTTATTTCAAATAGAACAATACTTGGCATGAATAAAGATTTATCCTTTCCAATACTGTATTAAAAATTTCACAGAACATTTCATTGCATGTAAGAAAATAACCATCACCATAAGTAAACCAATCAACTTTTCATCACTGTTATTCCTGTTTACAAGCATTAGTAATCATGTCACCTCAAGTTTCCAAAATATTTTATTGGAACATCAAATAAAAAAGAAAAGTGATTTGACATACCCAAGATACATATTTATGACTCCGAAAAGAATTTCTGCAATGAAATTCAGGGTTAATTTCCTACAACTGTCGATTTCCAGGGAATATTTTTTTCGACCCATTTCTGTATGAAACTGGATGTGAAGTACCATGATTTGGTGGTATTATACCTTATAAAGTATTGATAGAACTGATTATAACAAACACATTACTGATTCAACAGTTATCTCCCTTGACTTAACTTTACTTCCTTTTGTGAGCTAGTGTAATTATTTTGCATGTGTAAGAGGGAGAGATTTGTTTAATGTATGAGGAATTTGCATGAGAAAAGTTGTAAATATTAGACACCCAGTGTCACTATTGTTTTATTGTTATTCACAATAAAAAATCATTTGAAATTGTTTTTGTTTTTTCTGTACCTTTTCAGATTGGTCAATTTTGTGGATCAGAAACTGCTAATTTGTCTGTAAATTGAATATGGGGAGAATGTTTGCTTGATGAGGTTCAACATAATTTTCTAGGTCTACATTCCTTCAAATGCATTAAAATGTAAGCAGGAGTACATGTACCTGTTAAAGACTGATGAGGACAATTCCATTAAAATGAATGTGAGAGAGGAAGGAAAGAAATTTTATTTTTGGACATGGGGTGTGAAGTTTAATGGTTGTGTGTCTGTTTGATGATTAAAATTCCTCAATTTGATGGTTGAGTGTGAATTGGAGGATTTTTAAATTCCTTCCATGTGATGGAGTGAGCAAGATATGATGACCTATGTACAGTTAGTCTTGTTTGCTGACAGTGATAACCAAGTTCGTCCTTCTGTCATTTATGAACTCTTATAGTTGTCCAGATGTCAGTTATGCATACAGCTATTGATCTGGCTTTTGTATTACTTGCGATGATAGTCTCAGAAAGCAAGACAATAGGGATTACAATCCAGCAGCAGTCCTGACAGTTGAAACTTTTTTGTTTAAAGCTTTATATTTCAGGGGAGTAGATACCTTGTATACAGATGCGTAATGTTTCATCTAAACTATGTCCATATTCCTTGACCTCATTTTCATGGTTCAGCGACTCCTAAAAAATGCTGTCAGTTCTGGTGCTGTTTTATTATACGTAATTGTATAATGATGGCTTACTCATTTTTCCAGTCGAGATTCTAGGATAGAAGGGCAATATTTTGAAAAGGGACAGTACAGTGTAGTTCAAAAAGAGAATTCAGTTATATGTCTTATCATATCAAATGACAAAAGGATGTGTGATTGGAGAGCACAGGGGATAAAGGAAAAGAGAACTGCTCATCTTTCTCTTTGGGCTTGCTGGAATACTGCTTACATATTGATATTTCTGATGATCAACACTTGTCCGTTAAATTCGGATTTTCTCCACTTTACAAATATGTTTTGAAGAAGAAGAAGGTCAAAGGCCACTTTTTAAATTCGAAAATCAAAAAAGTACTGTTAATCTGCCAAAAACAAATAGTCATTCTTCAGATCTTTATAAGACATTTATAGTCTGTCGGCCATAATATTTCAAATTTGTGTCCAGATTTAGTTCATAGTAGCCAGTTCATTTAACAATAAAATTAAACATTATTTTTGAAGGATTGGATTGTTTTACATTTGTCATTTCGGGGTTTTTTATAGCTGACTAAGCGGTATCGGTTTTGCTCATTGCTGAAGGCCGTAAGGTGACCTATAGTTGTCAAGTTCTATGTCATTTGGTCTCTGGTTGAGAGTTGTTTCATTGGCAATCATACCACATCTTATTTTTTTATTGAATGAATTTACTATTTTTGCAACTTCAGGGCCAGGTATTGTCTACTATCACACCTCCTCCTCTGTCAGTATCGCCACATTAACCACATTAAACCAATGCACACAGTGTTGCTCGTGGGTGTCCCAGGTACTCGCCTTTCAGAAGAATTCCGAGGAATCAGATTTTTGGCCCAATGATTTGATCTGGTGTGAAATAGTTCCATTTGAAGGTTTATTCTGATGACAAAGGGGTTATTCAAATTCAAAGCATGTAATTGAAATTACAGAAATAAAATTCCCCACATGCTTTACCTTATTTTCAAAAATGCGTAGCGAAGGTGATTAATTTTCAACAACCGAAATTAGGCATATTCTATATGATTTCGTCGTAAATATGAATGACATTTTTCCATTCTGAAAATGACAAAAAAACAACAATCGAATATTTATATTCCACACAGAATTATAACAAAATGGACAAAATTTAGCAATGAAAATAACAATTCATAAATTTAGCCATAACTAAAACAATTATCTGATTTGACCTTACAAATGTCACAATAAAATACTTAATAGTATAATGAGACAATTTATTATTATCTATTCACATTTCATAATATAAAGTCAAGCCCAAAGGTTGAATTAGATAGTTAAATGCCTAAATGTTTTTTTTTTCGGTCACCACATGATGTAAGTGAGCTTTATGTCCTTTTCATGTAGCATTATTTTTGTTGAGCCTGCAACACTTTGTCGCGGAAACGAGACATATAGTGTTCCTACATTCCGTCCTCGTCGTCCACATTTATGCTCAATCTGAGGTTCATCCCGATCCAAAATTCGCGGAGAGATCCGAGTCCCGATGAGCAATTACACTTTATTTAGTGCAATTCCTAAGATAAATCTGGATCCGATTTCCACGGAGGATCCATCTTTTACTTACCCACCATGTTGCGGTCTCGTGTAATTATTCCTCGGGATTCGGATTCGGATCCCTCCGCGGATTTCGGATCTCTCCGAGGAATTCGGATCGGGATACCGGGTGTGTTAAAGCTTTATAGGTATTAAGACATCAATTGCTTGTCAAACCATCATGATTATTATGCCCCACCTACGATAGTAGAAGGGGCATTATGTTTTCTTGTCCGTGTGTCCGTTCGATCGTCCGGCCGTTAGTCTGTCCCGCTTCAGGTTAAAGTTTTTGGTCAAGGTAGTTTTTGATGAAGTTGAAGTCCAATCAACTTGAAACTTAGTACACATGTTCCCTATGATATGATCTTTCTAATTTTAATGCCAAATTAGAGTTTTGACCCCAATTTCACGGTCCACTGAACATAGAAAATGATAGTGCGAGTGGAGCATTCGTGTACTTTGTACACATTCTTGTTGTTTATGAACTTTGGATAGAAGAGGCTTTTTACGAGTAAAAAACAGCATCAAGAGTTATATTTTGAAAATATAATTTTTTATCATTGTTCTGTATTTTACAGATAAATGGACTTCGGTTTTCTTTGTATTTAACATTAACATAAAGTCTCGAATTTCATCTTATAGACATCAATAAATTTGTTAAACCTTCATGGAATGTTTTGAAACTTGGAAATTCGCTTCTTCAAGAGAAAGAAATAGCATCCGAAGAAACAAGTTTGATTTTTAGTTCACCTGCCCTAAAAGACCAAGTTAGCTTTTGCCTTCAACTTGGCGTCCGTCGTCGTTGTATACATTTAAAAATTATTATCCTCTGACCTTACAGGGTCAAATGTTACCAAACTTTACTTGAATTTTCCGTCGGAACTGTATTCAGGGAATTGACCCATTCCAAAGATGGCTATTAGTATTTAAAATAGATCATAGAGCTTGACTGCATTTTTGGCTTATATCTTTTAAAGTAAAGCTGTTAAAGCATAACTGACGCAAGTAAAAATCATCAGAAGGTCAAGGCCTATCTCTCATGAAATTGTCAGAAAAATTGGACAACCCATTTTGGAGTTATCACTTAGATATCAATTTTCAGAAAGTTTCACATTTTTTGACTGATATATCTCAAAAACTAAACAGCATGAGCAAAACTGACATGCATACTAGTAGGTAAAAATGATCAATGGAATGTTCTGAAAAATCGGACAATTCTGGGAGTTCATTTTTAGCAAATTTACAAGTTTTTGGTTATTAACTTGAAAACTATAAATGAAAGAGAGAACTTTTAAACAGTAAAAAATTACCATAACAATAGGATCTATTAGAGCAAAATGTTCTACAAAACAAGTCCAAATAGACGAAATCGTCCATTGGCATTGAACAATTATAGGAGGTATTGCCCTTGAAAGATGATTTATATCATTTTTGGCAGAAACCATAATAGATAAAGAGAAACTGTAAGGAGTAAAAAAGTTCAGCAAAATACGTTCTAAAAATAAATCAACTTGGCCAAAATCGTAAATCGATCCCTTATAAGAGTTATTGCACCTGAACGATGATTTTCATACATTTTTTGCATTTTTGTTGAAATCATAATAGATAGAGAAAAATTCAGGGGTTCAAATTAGCGGTGGTCCGAGGTCCGTGACCTTCCACTATTAACACCTTCTGATTCAACTTGTCAATATTCTGATTTGTCAAATATGGAGAGTTAGCAAGATTCTGCTTAATAATACCTCCTTAAAATTTAGACAACTGATTTTTCTCCACATCTTAAAGGAATTTGACAGCTGTTGATCGACAAAGTGTATCCTTATGTATATGCAGCTATTTTGTAAGAAGTGCAAGATGACAAATGTAAATATACAAATTTTTTAGTCTATAGGAAAACATGAAGATTTCGGTCCCTTTTTGGCAAAATATAATCACATTGGGTACTTGCTTCCAATTGTGTACTCTGATGCTGAATATACTATTTTATTCAAATAGGACTAGCAACATATGAAATAAGCCAGAGAAAACATTTCAACAATAATTTATTCAGCATGTTCAAAAACAAAATAAATGAGAATTAGCATATACATATGAACGGTATAACTTTTTATTCGAACTTTTAAATTATGATTAATTTTTGATGAAATTCTTTTTGTCCAACTCATCTGTATGAATAAAAACTGCATATGTGACACCAAAGTGATGACTGAATTCAGTCATCTTGTCTATTTATATATCAAACATGCACTGGAACTTTCATCTTAACTAAATGAAATACCTTTGCAATATTCAATGGATAATACGTTTAAAATTAGAGATTGGTA